ATTTATATGTTTTTGAATTGGGCTAGTTAATTTGTAAAAATTACGAATGAAATGTCATTAGTTGTATTTATGTAGTGTTACTGTAAATATTAAAAAATTTAATTATGGTACGAAACCAAAAGGAACGGAACCGACTGGACTCGAACCGAACCAAACTCAAACGGTTCCATAATTATATTTGAACCCGACGGTTCCATTTATTAAATATCCGAAAGTTTTGGATCGGTTAGGATCTCTTCAGAACCGAACCGACCCACGGACAGCCATACTCTCTACCCGCATTTAACAAAATGACAATTTTCTTGATAAAGTTATAAACTTGAGTTTCTGTTTAATTCTCTAGAAACTCATTTAAAAAAAAAAAAAAATTCATTTTCAACAATACATTATCACAATAAAAATATTTTGCAAATAAATTCAAAACTTTTTCCTACTTTTTAACCACACTTTCTCCGAAAAATTATTATTGCAAAATTCATTTTCCCCCAAAATGCTTTTGAGCCACATTTTTGGAAAAAAAAATGATCTTTGTATTAATAATTTTTTGAAGATTGTATGGTTAAAAAAATATGTTTACATGTAAAGTTATTTTATTTAAAAAATTTATGGTTGAAAATGAATTTTTATCTAATGGGACTCAAGCATAGTATAATATGCATCAAAGATGGGCTTAATAGTCAAATTTTTGTGACAAACCAATTGTCATTAAAATAACTATATTCACAGCACGATTTTTATTTCTTTTACCATATTTTAATCGTACTTAAAGTTCTTAATATTTGCTCATTCTATCACTTATGTCCCTTACGATTTTTCCTATATTCTTTTCCTCAAAGTTTTTATCAGTTAACATATTTTGTATTTGATAATAGTTTNTTTAATTGCACTTAAGATTTTTAATCTTTACTCATTATAGTACTTACATTCATAACGATTTTTATGTCATTCTTATTTTCAAACTTTTCATTAGTTAACACATTTTGTATTTGATAATAGTTTTATATCCAAAAATTCGTTAAAATAGCATAAAACAACTTATTTTATCATCATATATTTAAAAAATAAATAAATAAAAAGTGCGAAAAAATATTTTTCTGTCACTTCAAAGCATGAAAACAAAATATTTTGATATAAATTATCATCAATGACAAGACATACTAATTAATGTAAGATTGAAGATAAGAATTCGAAAATAAGCGTTAGTTGGATAAAAAAAATTATGTAATTTTAATCAATTTTTCGACAAGTCAAATTTTAATATTAATTACAAATTTCATGAAATTCATAGTTTTTATTAATTCTTCAGCCATAAATTTTGTCTATATTTGATAGAGATTTTTTCAGAATCGATTTTGTGAAGTGATTTTTTTGGAGAATGTATGCTTAGAAAATAAGAAAATGTCATTTATGCATGTGTAAATTTTTTTTAGTAAGAGAGAGTATGATTGAAATGAATTTTTAAAAAATGGGGACCAAACAGGGAATTTATCAACTCTTATCAAAAAAATTTGTTAAACGACCCTTCAAACAAGGATTATGCTACATTATCATGGCCTAACTTGTTTTATGACCATCACTTCCACCCCCCACAAATCAAAATTGATCTAATCTAATCTGATTAAATATATTTTAAATTAAACTCTATTTTAAAAGAAAGCCTCTATTTACATCCACTATTGTTATATATATATCACACTCTATATCTATCCATATTAAAATTTAATAAAACATTATTTTCATCCATGTCACATTACAATA